TAGAAATGTTAAAAGTTACATAATTTAGAGCTGCATAATCTGGCATCATAATATGGAAATTGTAGCATGTGAGGCCAATAGGCAGCTGCAGGAACAGTGCAATCAGAACAGCCAGATCGACGCGTCAGCTATAAAGCTAGCTTACTCTGTCTTCACTGTCTCTGCTGTCTAAAAATGCTTGAGAAATAAACGAGGCTCAGCCTGGCAGGGGACAAGTAAAGCCTGATGGGCCCCGCCAGGCTGATGGCACACCCAGAAAAACACTGAATACTTTTTGGGTGCTCGTCCAGAATGTTTCTGTGTAAATCATGCAGCTGGGGTTTGTTGTGATGCCTTCAGGGTCAGAAACTGTGAGGAACTGGGAGGCAGGAATGTCAGCATCTAATAGGGGGTTTTGGGGGATTTGGAGAAGCCTGGGTCTAGCCCTAACCCTCACATGACCAGGAAACTCCAGGAGGAGATCCAGCTCCAAATTGCCCCCTGGTGGCAGATCAGGCTGGAGACAGAGGACGGAGGATGTCTTCATAAACCGTCCTGCAGGGTCTCGCTGTCATGTTTCCTGGTTTGGCCTCTGAATGCTGCGTGTCACTTCCTGTTTCCTTAATCAGCTCAGCTGTGGGATCTGTCTGATTCCTGCTAACCGGCTCTGGAGCCGATATCCAATCAAAACTCGTCTCCAATTAAGCAAACAAGCACAGACTGCAGTTGAGCCACTAAAAACCAGCCGGCAACGCTTCACTTTTCTTTGTCTGGATCCTCAGAGAGAAACAACTGGAGGCATTTTACATTCGACCCAATCGTTGCAATGCACCGGTTTGACGGCATGAAGCTCACCAGAACTCTTCTGATTTGTCAGCTTTCCTTTTTCAGCTCACATAAATCTGATCTCAATCTGTGCCTCAAAATTACATTTACGTGATGAAATGACTCCAAGGGGCTGAAGATGTTGGATAAAAAATACATGATGTAATGATAAATCTGAAGAACTCAAACATATAAATGTTTGTGTCAATAAAGTTACAGTTTGATTTTAGGGGGGAGTGAAAATCCTGAATATTTTCCTTCTGATAAAAACATTTATGATCTCTGATCTGATTTCTATGTGTTATTGTGAGCTACAGTACAAATTACAGATCTGTCTTTGCTTTTCTTGTTTCAGCATGGAGAAAATCCTAAATTAACTACAAATATTCCTAAATATCTTTAAAAATTCATAAATATTGTTCAATATTTTAATCTGTGTTTACTAACAGAAATAATGTAGGAGGAAAACTGTGATAGATATTGCTGATACTATAACGCTAAAGATGACAATAATATGTAAGAATAATAAATGAACAGCTGATTCATTCTGAGGCGGTCTGAGTGCAGACCTTCGGCGTGAGGAAGAGGAGCAGGACTTCCTGCAGGCGAGGAACTGGATCTGGTGGGAACAGGAAGGTTTGGAAGGTTCTGGTTCTCAGATCCTTATTTGAGCTGCATCACCGCAGGCGCTGTGGTGCAGAAAGCATCAGGTTCATTATTATTCGGTTGCCATGGAGACGATGGAGGACAGAGCGAATCATGCAACTCCCTGAAGAATCTCCATGGTATGGTCTCTAATTTTTCCATGGCGACAATAATGGCTGCTGCAGGGAAAACAGTCTGCTGTGGAACGGTGAATCCAGTGGAACCATTCGTGTTATTTCCATCCATTTTGTTTGTATTTCCTCTAATTCATGTAAAGCTCTCTGAATTGCCTTATTCCTATAGAAATAAAATTACCTTAGCAAAGCTTAAAGCTGAAACAGTAAAAGTTTTAATTTGTTTCAAGATTTAAGTTACAGACGTAGAGGACTCCATGCTCCTCTGTCTGACCCGGTTCTGTCAGGTCAGAAGCAAAACTCGGTAATGAGGCAAAACTCCGAGTCTGAAGCGGCAAATCATAAAGTCCTGAGAGGTCAAAGGTCTTTACAAGAGGTCAGGTGGTTCTGCAGAACTTCCTGTCCTCAGAACCAAAGGCATAATGTTCTAATTTGTCCACATTATTGAGAAGAGAGGCAGCAGCTGCTGGATGAAACCCGAGAGCAGCCCGGTGTGTGTGTGTGTGTGTGTGTGTGTGTGTGTGTGTGTGTGCGCGTGCGCGCGTGCGTGTGCGCGCACTGTAGGGAAAGCGCTGCAGGTGTTGAGTTTCAGGCCTTGCTAATGTGTCTGTGAATGGCAGTGTGAGGCAGACAGATGGAATGAGCTGAATGGGTTGGCTAACAGATACTAATGGTTCTGATGGAACCCAGTTTCCTGGAGAAAGCCCAGGTTCATTCTGAAGGTCTGTTCTTAAAGGGCCGGTATCATGTAAATCATCTCGTTTCTCCCTGCTGTGTTGCTCTGATTCTTTCATGTTGGAGAATTTCTTTAATCTCCATGGCAACCATTCAGCTGTTAAAACACCTGGGTGGCCCTAGCCCCGCCTTCGAGGCACAGCTCCTCCCCCACTCCGCTCCTTCAGACTAGCCAGCAGCAATTAGCAAACAGCAGAGCTCCTTATAGGAGCTGCTGCTCAGAGCAGTGCTAGTAAAAACATTAAAGGGTTATAAAGGAGCCATGTTGGGATGACTTCCTGGAGGCAGAACTTCATAAAGAACAGTTCTTAAAGAAACACAGACCCAATTTCAAGGCGTTACATCAGGAAGTCAAATTTATTTAAAGTCATATTTGATATATAAAAGATTTCATAACAACTGAAGGTAAAATAGCTGCTGATTATGATATAAAATGGGAATATGTGCCTGGAAAACACATAAAGCTGCCCCTTTATAAAAACAAACATACGACACAAAATGAGAGAAGACTTCAGAGGCAGAAAGTCTGAGCCAGTCTTTTTTCAGTCTCGGTCCTCTGGATGGAGACTGAGGTAGCATCATTCCCACCAGCTCTGTCCAGTCCACTTTAACCCGACTCCAGTTCGTTTGCCTATAAAAGCCCGTCCGGTTGGTGAGGTGTGATCGCTAATTGACCTCTGACCTCTAGTCATCCAAACCTCGGTCTGGGTTCAGTTGAAGTGAACTCTGGTTTGGTCTGAATGTGAACGCCAAGCGGACCAGATACCGCTCCAGAATCAGGAAGTGGACTACAGAGCAGGGCATTCTGGGTAAATACAACCAAAGCTAACATGCTAGGATAGCAGGAGAAATGGCTCCTGGTCTTTAGCCAAAGACTAAAGAGAAATCCTCCAACCACTAAAATCCTCCATCTTGTTTCCATCTGGTGAAGAAGGAAGTTGCTCTCAGTGTCTTCAGAGGTTTTTGTGTTGTTTCCTTCAGTGGTTCTTGGTGCAGCGCCCCCACAGGCCAGGAGGGGAACAGGTTGGTTTGACTCAGAGCAGAGAGGAAGAGAACCACAGCATCTGGTGGAGCAGATGATGGAGTTCTGGTTCCAGTAGAACCAGGTCGACCAGACCATGAGGAAGGGAAACAGACCATTTAGAGCAACTTCAGAAGATTCAACAGAACTAGCTTATTGTAATTTCTGTGTTTTGCTGTCATTTCTACATTTTTAATGACCTTCTGGCCCAGATTTTCTCTCTTTAATACATCAACCTCAATTACAGACAAGTAAAAACTTCGGAAATAATTTTTAAAAAATCACAGAAAACAATACATTTTTTGGAAACACCAAGATAAAATCTATATAAATGTCTCATTCAGTGGATCTGCTGTAGAGTCCAGTCAGAACAGGACTGAATCTGTGTGTTATCAGCTGAACACACACACACAGAGGCTAGGTATGATCAGTTCTGAAGTCACCTTATTTGAAATGAGCTGCAGCTTTACTCCAACTATCAGACCGGCCCTCCCAGTTCCACCCCCATGCCGACCACCACACACTCTGAGGTATTACGTTACACAGGAATGTCTGTGTGCGTTCTGGAGGTCTGGTCCTCACATGGTGGGTAAAGTAGAAACACAGGAAGTGATTATGAGGACCGACAGCTTTCCAACAGCTGTGCTCTTTATCTGTGGCTGCGAGGTCAGAGGTCATGTGTAGGCAAAGGGCCGAGTGTGTCGGGAACAAAGCAGGTGCTGATGGTTAGAATGCCAGCCGGGGGTCATAGTTCAAAGGTCACAGGTCACTTCCTGTATTGCTCCATCACTGAGCTCTCCTTCATCTTCTGCTTTCACTTTCATCCCGTTTGTCTTCACTATTCCTGTCCGGTTCAATGAGGCGGTCTGGTCCGGGTTGGGATTGGAAGCTTTTTCCAGAACCTTCTAACCGTGTTGCTGCCGTCTCTCTTGCTGCAGTGTCCTACTTTATCGTTTCCTTCCTGCTGCTCTGACTCCGTTAAACAGGATTGTAGAAGAGTGTGTGTGTGTGTGTGTGCGCGCGTGCAACTCGTCAGCTCTAATTAAGCTGGGCTGCTTAACGAGCAGACAGCTAATTAACTACACACACTCGTCCTTCATCCCTTGTCTGACTTTCCCTTCTTACATCGTTTGTTCTCTTTCTTTCGTTTGCATTTTTTCTTCCTCCATATTTTATTCTATTTTTTTCTCTTTTTTTCCTTCCATTTATTTGTTGCCCATTTCTTCCTCCTCTTCTTCGATGGTGTTTTTCTGGGTCAGGGGGGAGGGGAGGATTTGGGTCTTATTTTAGTTGCTCCATGTATTTGCCGGGTTCCTGCTGTATTCAGCATCCCTCTTCCTCCTCCTCTACCTCCTCTCCAGTCAGAAGTAATCCCATTACGCTGCAGGAACGGCTTCTATTAAATCTTGGAGGATTTTCATCGTAGGATGTAGATGATGATGAAGAAGAAGAAGATGATGATGATGAAATCGTTGGGCAGACTCTGGAAATGGATCCGGGTTTTATCTGAAGTTCTGCTGAAAGGTTCTGGTGCCCAAAGAAACGAGTCTGTGGAGAATCTGGACCCGGTTCTGATCTGGTTCTGCTTGCTTCATCATGTGTTTTTTTTTGTCAGTTCAGACATGTCGGGTCGGTCTCACGGTTCTGGTTCTGTGTTTCAGATCCGAGTGGACGGCGTGCCGCCGCCAGCCCAGAATGCCTTGCTGTATGAGACGGTGGCGGTGGCGGAGGGCCAGCCCATCCTGAGGGACATGGTGTTCAGTCCAGACCACCGCAGCATCTACCTGCTGAGCCACCGACAGGTAAGGCCCAGTTCTGATGCCCCCAGAACCAACAGCCGGGTCCGGAGCTTCTGCTCGCTGTGACAAGCCAAACCTCCAACCGGACCTTACAACCATAACAGAGGCTGTCCTGAATGCTAATGCTAGATAGCATAGCCACCAGAGTGGTGGACAGTGCTAAGACTGAAATAAACAAATATGTAAAAGTTGCGTTCTGCAGCTTCAAGCCTCCAGAAAAAGACCAGAAGCCAAACAACAAAACGAGCCGCAAACACCGAACCCTTTTCTGAACAAACACATCAGTTTGCTTCTAAACAGGCCCAGTTTGGCCTGGTTCACTGTCTGTCCTGAAACACAGCCAATGGAAACCTGGCACCAGATCGGGTCAGAGCAGAACCCAACTGAAGGTTCTGGTTCTGTCTCCAGGTGACCAGGCTGCCGGTGGAGAGCTGCCAGCAGTACAACAGCTGCTCTGACTGTCTGGGATCAGGAGACCCGCACTGCGGCTGGTGCGTCCTCTTCAACAAGTAAGAGCATTCTTCTTCTTCTACTCACTGATTCATCACAGGGGCTCACCTGGAGGACCTGGAGGACCTGGAAGGTCCAAGTAGGACTGATTACTTTGGATAAAAGTCAATGCAAAGTCCTCATGAAGATAGAAGGACCCTCTATGTGTGTGTGTGTGTATGTGTGTGTGTGTTTGTTTGTAATACCTTGTGGGGACCATTTTCCTGACACTACGCTGTGGGGACCCACTGCTCCTTGTGGGACCGAAGCCTGGGCCCCACAAGGGGAAATGTTGTTTGTGGGTCAGGGGTCAGATTTAGGACTAAGGTGTGAACTGAGTTTTGGTTACGGTTAGAATTAGGTTGTAGAAATGAATGGAAGTCAATGGAAAGTTCCCACAAAGATAGCAACACAAACGTCTGTGTGCATGTGCGCTCGTGTGTGATCCCCTCAGGCGTCATTAATGTTGCTATAAATTCTCCAATCTCTCATCAGGATGTTTGATGTTCAGCATCCAGGCCAGGGGAGGAAGTTCCTGTTTAGAGCTCCATCAGTCAGCTGTCCCTTCAAAGTAAAAGCCTCAGCCACAAGGCTGAGAGCAGACCCAGGAGGCAACTTGTTGGGTCTCTGAGTGTTTCTGTGTTTATGGACCAGACAGTCTCAGCTTAAAGGCTTATTGAAGATGTGATGCCCTTACACTTTACCCTGAGCGTCACCTTCAAGGCTCCGTCTATTCAGGCTAAAAAGCCAGTGCAGAGTTTCCTCTAATGGTAGCTGCTTCTGGTATGCAGCTTTGCTCCTCTTCCTCCTCCTTCTCTCTCTGTCAATCTGCTGTTCATTAGAAGTAAACAGATCATCACTACAGGTTGGAGCTGCTGCTTTCTGCAGACTTCACCTCCACCTGTCGGCTGCTCCACCTCCATCGCTGCCTCCTCGGTAGTTCCATTGTTAATCAAGAAACAGGAAGTTGGGTCATAAAAACTGAGATGATAATCTGACAATCAGAAAACAATCAGCCTGAAAATGGATGGTTGGTTGGTTGAATGGATGGTCAGATGGTTTCACTGTCTGGTGACCTTTAACCTCTGCAGGTGTTCCAGGAAGGAGTCATGTGACCGGTGGGAGGAGCCTCAGCACTTCAACACCCGTCTGGACCAATGCGTGTTCATCTCGGTTTCTCCTAGCAACATGTCCGTCACCTCTCCTCCCACTCAGGTGAGCAGCCGCACCCCAACCCACCTGTGGCCTGGACTTTGTCAGCTCTAAGCTCCACCTCCTCCTTTTATCCAGCTGACCATCAGGGTGCAGAACGTCCCGGAGCTTTCGGGCGGGGTCACCTGTGTGTTCGAAGACCTGACGGAAACACCTGGACAGGTGCAGACAGAAGGTCAGGTGGTGTGCATGTCGCCGTCGCTCGAGGAGCTACCAGCACAAGCTCCTCCCTACGGTGAGACACACACACACACACACACACACACACACACACACACACACACACACACACGTGGAGTGGTCGTGTGCAGGTTGTCTGAAGGTTGAGTGAAGGTCGTGTGCAGGTTGTGTGATGATGGTCGGCCATGTTTCCTGCAGGGGAGAAGCGTGCGGTCCAGCTCAGCCTCCGCTCTACAGAGACGGGTCTCCGGTTCATCTCCACCAGCGTGGTTTACTACAACTGCTCCGTCCTTGGCTCGTGAGTCTCCTCCTTTTCTTCATCCTCTTCATCATGTCAGCTGATGGTACCTTTGACACTTGGTACCAAAGTCCGGTACCTGGGAATCACTACCAGTTTTCGATACTTTTGCGTGTGTTGCTTTTTAATAGTAAACGCTATTATTTTGTTTACCATATTTATTTTTCAATAATAAAAAAAGATATATAAANGGACTTCCGGCCGGAACACCGTTAAGATGGCGGCTCACTAAAGAGTCTCCCCAGACAACCGGAGAAATTCTTGATTTACCCCCATTCAACTGAGTAATATTGCTCTACGAAAGTCATTTAAAGGGGGTAAGACGACAAAGAAGCCCCAAAGACACTATAATTAGAAGAGGGAAGTTGAGAAGTTTTACGAACAGGTACAGCTAATGTGTCGTGGCCTTAAGCTAATAGATCGGAATGGCTAGCCTCGAAATCCTATTAGAAGAGCTTAGAGGCTTCCGCCAGGAATCTAAGGAACAACTCTCGACTATTAAAGAGGAAATAAGAAAAGCGAATGCAAGGATAAGCGAAGTAGAGGAGCGGCTGGAGAAGACGGAAGAAAGAACCCAAAATACGGAGGAAGTGTTAGCAGAACTGCTGAAGCTACACGTGAGTCTGGAAGATAAGATGGAGGACCTAGAGAGCCGATCCAGGGGGGAAAATATCAGGATCTACGATGTTCCAGAGGGGGCTGAAAAGGACTGTGAATCCATGGCGGCATTTGTGGAAGCTCTACTTAAAGAGGGGCTCGGTCTGGAAGACATCCAGCCGGACATGCAGATTGAACGCGCGCTCGGTCCACCGGAGGGAGCGGCGCCACGGTCGATAGTGGTGAAATTTCTGAGCTTCAAATATAAAGAGCTGTTGCTCCGTAAGGCCTGGCAGCGAAAAGGATTTATTTGGCATGAAAAGCGAATAAATCTGGACCATGACTATCCACCAGCCATCCTCAGAAAGCGCAGAGAGTTCACGGAGGTTCGGAGAGTCCTGAAGGAGAACGGTGTTCCATTTCAGACTCTCTTCCCGGCGAGGCTGCGAGTGAAACATAAAGAGGGGACCAGGACCTACGACACCATAGAGGAGACCACCGAGGATCTGGCTAAAAAGGGCTACAAAGTTAAAATCATCAGATCTCCAGCTTCCCTGAAGGAGCAGATTGAGCGGTTGTCCTGGAGCAGGAAGGAGGGGAGGAGACAGAAGGGCTCCTCCGGTTCTGCAAGAGGAGAAAACTATAAAGAGAGGCTCCGGGCTTTTAGAAGAACATCTCCACCTAAGAGCTGAGGGAACCTTCATTTCCCCTCCTGGATTCTTCCTCTTAGAGATAAGTGTACAGAGGGCTGCTTTAAGGATGATGGGATTTTATGAAGGTTTGTTTGGGATCCACTCCTATTTGGGCTGCTGCCACCTGTAAGGGCCCTCCTTAACTTCATGGGAGGTTTTTCCCTTCTGGGCTTCCTCCAAGAAGCCCAACAGGGTCTAATCAACAGACCCCTGCCTTGGAGGCTGAACATGTTCTGTTCTGTTAGGGTTCCTGTTTATATGTTTATTTTTGGTTCATCTGTTTATATTCTGTTTATGTCAGTTCTAGTGAGTGGTAGGGGAGTTTCAGGGTCATCAGTGACATGGGGAAAACACTTACACAAATGGGAAAGACACAGTTAAAGGTGGCTTCTTTCAATATAAATGGCATAAATAATCCGATTAAGAGATGGAGAGTATTATCTAAACTCAGGAAGGATAAAGTTCAGATAGCAATGTTGCAGGAAACCCACCTAGATAATTCTGAACATGCCAAACTGACCAAGATGGGGTTTAAATCTGTTTATTTCTCTTCCCACAGCTCCGGTAAACGAAGAGGGGTTGCTATTTTAATATCGAGTTCCTTGTGCTACGAACACGTTACAGAACATAAAGACAGGGAGGGTCGTTATCTGTTACTTACAGGGAAAATAGATGGTGTCCTGATGAGTTTTATTAATGTCTATGCCCCACCTGGCAGCGACTGGTCGTTTTACAAGAAAATTATTGAATTAGCAGCAACAAAAAGTCAGGGTGTAATGATCTGTGCGGGGGACTTTAATATTAGGTTAAACTCAAATCTGGACTCATCGAATGGAAAAACAAACTCTAAACATATCAGTAAAAGAATGAAAAATATGATGGATGAAGTGGGACTAGTGGATGTATGGAGGGATAAGAACCCAACCAGTCGTGACTACACACATTATTCCTCTTCATACAATGTATACTCAAGAATAGACTATTTCTTCATGTTTAAAAAAGATGTGCATAGATTGGAAAGCTGGGAAATAGGATCCAGTTCAATCTCAGACCACAGTCCAATCTATATCTCCCTTCAAATGGCTGAAAAAAGCAGATCCACCCTCTGGAGGCTGAATACGAACTTATTAAACAGTACAATCTTTAAGGAGAATATGAAAACTGAAATCATACAATACTTGGAAGAGAATGATAATAATGAAGTGGGTCTGGCAATACTCTGGGATGCTCTAAAGGCCGTAGTCAGGGGAAGAATAATAGCCTTTTCCTCCAATGAAAAGAGAATTAGACAACAAAAACAAACTCAATTGGAGACAGAGCTGAAAAGACTCCAGAAAGAGCACTCCAAAACCTTAAGGAGGGCTATAAGAGTCAAAATTGAGTTGGTGAAAAAAGAACTGAACGACTTAAACATACAAGAAATACAAAAGAAACTTCTCTTTACTAAACAGAAATATTATGAGGCAGGGGGGAAATCTCTGAAGCTCCTAGCATTTAAATTACGAAAACAGCAAGCTGACAGAGCTATTCACAAAATAAAGAATATATATACAAATAGAGTTGAAACAAACGTAGAAAAGATCCAGAAGTGCTTTAGTGATTTTTTCAAAATTCTATACTCCCAACCCAAATTGAATAATGAACAACAAATGGACACTTTCCTTTCCCAACTCACCCTGCCTAGCATTACAGATGAGCAAAACGAACAATTAATATCAGAGATAACTGAAGCAGAATTAAAATCAGTGATTAGAAAATTGAAAGGAGGGAAATCTCCAGGAACAGATGGGTTTACCTCTGAGTGGTACAGAGAAATGCAAGATCAGTTGGTCCCTGTTTTAGTAAGAGTTTTCAACAATGTACTAGAAAAGAAAATAATCCCTCCTTCATGGAGAGACGCAACCATTTCACTAATCCCTAAGGAGGGAAAAGATAAGAAGGAATGCGGAAATTATCGGCCAATAAGTGTGCTAAATATTGATTACAAATTATTTACTGCTATAATCGCACAGAGATTGGAAAACATCCTCCCAGTGATAATCCATAAAGACCAAACAGGCTTCATCAGGCAGAGACAGACTCAGGATAACATCAGGAAAACCCTGCATATTTTAAATCATGTAACCCATCAAAAAATAGAGACTCTTGTATTGAGTCTGGATGCAGAGAAGGCTTTTGATTCAGTCAGATGGTCTTTTCTTTACAAAGTTATGTCCAGGTTTGGGTTCCACCAGACCATAATAGATGTAATCGCATCTTTATATGATAGACCATCTGCTAGGATCAAAATTAATGGAGACCTATCTGATCGCTTCACTCTGGAAAGGGGTACGAGGCAGGGATGCTGTGTTTCTCCACTCCTCTTTGCCCTCTTCATAGAGCCTCTAGGTCAGTGGATAAGACAGAGGACGGACACAGCTGGAGTTCATATGGCATCCGGAGAACAAAAGTTGTCATTGTTCGCAGATGATTTGCTGTTGACCATAACAAACCCAGCTAAAACCCTACCTGGGATTAGAATAGGTAGACACTGAAACATAT